AATCGCAAAACTTCAGTTAAAAAAAAAAATGACTGCTTTCAAAGCTAAGACCAGTTTAGCCTTTTGTGCTCATTTGAGTTTTGATTGCTATTCTAATTCTTTCCCCTCCATTTAACTTGAAGTCATTGAGGCTTCTAGAAATGCATTGTAAGCCTCTTACTCATAAGATTCATTTCAGTTGACCATGTCATCATGATACTTTCTTGCTATCTGGAATGTGGAGACAGCAGGGAGTGGGGGACTTAAGTGGAAATGCAGAATCTTGTGTCTCTTCCTGAGCTCACTGTGCCCAAGTGCACTTTAAGGAGACCCTTGTGTGACTTGTTTGAGATGTGTGAAGGTTTGAGATGTACTGCTGCTTACAAAGCATCCTCCCTCTGTTTGTGTGACTGACATCTGTACTAGTTAGTCCTCTGCTTCCACCTTTGTGCCTGCCTTTGTGCAGAGGCTTAGTCAAACAGTCCATTTGCCTCATAGTTCTATGCTCTCTACTGTGTTAAATGGGAGGATTCCATGCCTGGGGCACAGTCACCCGTTAGTATTGCTGAATTCTAAGATTCAGGAATGTCTCTGGGTCTTTTTCCGTGTATAATAACTCATGAAAGTTGTCTTAACTTATTAACATTTCTGCATCGCTTCAAGTTATATTTTCCAGAAATTATAGACACTCGGTACTGCAGTTGCTTTATGTTTCTGCTCAAAAATATTTTTTTTTCTATCAACTTTAACCATGCATCTATTTCTTTCTTACCAGCGTTTGGAAATGCCAAAACTGTAAGGAACGACAATTCCTCCAGATTTGTAAGTATTTATATAAGCTTAAGTGCTGACACTGATATTTAGTTCATGTATGTTTAAACAAGCAGTAGATGTTTAATATTTCTTAATACACACATTTTTAAAGTCAGAAGGGAACCGCCCCCTATTGGAACACACTGAAAGTTCTAAAAAGGATGATTTGTTTGTTTTGCTTTTTGATGTTTTTCCTTTTAATTCTTTTTGGGGTGGTGGGCGACTTTTATCATGTTTTCCCATCATCTTCAACTATAACTTCCATGAGTTTAAATGAGGCCATTTAGAATCATTTCTCACTTATCTGGAATTTGGTTTTTACCAACCATAATTAAGAATGAGAAATTCAGCTAATAGAGAAAGATCAAGTAAGTCTCAACTTTGTATATGCACTGTCACCTTTGTTTCTTATTTGGAGGGCTCACCAAGGATGAGATGTACTTTAAAACTTATTAGTGGTAAAAGCAGTAAGATAGGCAAATGCAAGGGTGTGAGGGAGGGGAATAGAGCTGAATAGTTACAAATAAATCTCACTGATGTCTTGCCGTGGTTGAGCTAGAGATGCTGTTTCAAGTTGGAATCTGGTCCCTACCACTGATTTTCCCTCATCTCCTGTTAATGTCTAGCTTAGGTCTGGGCATTGGTGCATTTGTTCCCCTCCAGCTATACTGTGGTCCTCCAGGCCTCTGGGCCTCAGAAAGACACAAACACTGCCCTGGAGGCAAATGTTTTGAGTGCCGTGATGGTGTTTTTTGCTTTTTGCAGTTCTGGGAATCAAATCCAGGACTTTGTGCATGCTAGGCAAGTGCTTTAGCACTGAGCAAAGCTATACCCTCCTCAAATGC